ATCCCCGCCGGCACCAATGAAATTGTTAATTGCAATTTTAAGTGTTGATTTACCACGTGCTCGGCGGTGAAGGAAAACATCGTGAGGAAACCTGTCATGTCTGAGGAATAAGAAAAAAAATATTTCGAAGACATGTGAAGTTCGTCAACACGCATTTGGGCAGCGCGGCGGACACTTCCTTGCCCTAAACCCTCTCAGAAATGAGGGGAGGCCTGAGCCCAGCAGTGGGACGTATATAGGCTGTAACTTTTACTCTACGGTATACTAAACTTTGGTTAATCGACTAATTTATCACCGGGTAGTGGCGGTATAAGAATATCCACAATCCCATATCATCCCGTGGGTGTCGTAAGAGGCGACAGAGGGGAACAAATCAGGAGATGGGCTGCAGTGTCTTCCTAGAGGTAGGACCGCACTAGGCGGAACTGCATTACAGCGGAACTGAGCGACAACACGACGCGTAACGTTTTGGTAAACCGCACTTGAACTACAGCGGCGCTAGGAAAATATATTCTTTATTATTATAGAGCAAGGTGAACGACGAAATGGATATGATCATTATTTCCTTGTTGTGGAAATGATCGAGCAGAAACAAGCAAGAAAAAGGCAAAGAACATGGCTACAAGACATATCAAACTCGCGATATGAAGGCGAAGGTAGGACCGCACCAGGCGGAACTGAGCGACACGAGTTGGGTCAGTTGATCAACTTTGCTCAGTTCTGCTGCAGTGTAGTTCCGTTGCCGCTTAGTGCGTGTTATCGTATAATGAATATTTTGACGTGTCGTATCACTCATTCTTGCCTAGTGCGGTCCTTTATAACTATTTTCCTAATACTAAAATTAAAAAGCTGCGGTTGCCTACCCCGCTGGCAAAGCGGGGCAACTATGGTAGATATTCCCACTATGAAGCAATCTTTTGAGAGGCCTATGTTCAGCAGTGGAGTTTAAATTGGCTGTAACGGTAGCAGTGTGTAAGTCGATTGACTTAAATACTGAACAGAATAAAAAAAAAACAAACGCAAATTGCTCACTGAGTGAAACTTCCTTTAGTCGAACCGTTAAGACAGTTGTCAACCGGAAGTTTGCGTAACCGAATCTGACCGGGAGAGTGTTATCGAATTAGGTTTAAGGTAAGGTTCAATGATTGTGCAGTAATTTGATGTTACTTGAATATCGTTTAATTAATGTAAAATTTGACATACTAATATAAATATATAAATATTTATACACGGTAGAACTACTCTGAGGCTATATTATGGTTGTAGCACGAATGGGTCGGCTCGACCGGGGTAGGACCACGCCCTCACAGAATACCAACGTAAAATAGCAGCTTAACGCTGCAGTGTTTCATATGGTGAGTGTGGAGAACTAGAGACCCTTTTTTACTGGAAACGAGGCATTCCATCTAATTCCTCAGGATATATATAGATATATGTTTGAGGTTGTACTCATTGAATTCATTATCCATCCATAACAGCCTATAAAAGTCCACTGCCGAACATAGCCCCCCCCACCTCGTGGGTGTCGTAAGAGGGAAACTAGCCAGGAGATTGACAGCAGCATCTTCCTCATAATAACTAAAATATAAAAAAAAACTGTGTTTGCCAATCCTGCTAAATTTCTCCTATGAGACAATATAATATGGGGAAGGCAGTGTTCTTTTGTTCTCATGTTCAACAGTTGAATTTTAATAGGCTGTAATACATCTGATCTGATTGGTATCCTACAGTGATAACTTTAAATCTATACCTAGGCATATCGTTAGAATTCAATTTGATCTACATAGTAAGAAAAAAAGTTACAGCCTATATGCGTCCCTCTCTGGGGCGCAGGCCTCCTCATTTCTGAGAAGGCAAGAAATAGTCCGCCGCGCTGCTGCAATGCGTGTCGGCGAACTTCACATGTCTTCGAATTTTTTTTCCTATTTCTCAGACATGCAGGTTTCCTCACGATGTTTTCCTTCACCGCCGAGCACGTGGTAAATTAGCACTTAAAATTGCAATTAACAATTTCATTGCTGCCGACGGGGATCGAACCCGGTTAGCTCGCGTATTGTAAAATCTACAAAGAGCGCTAACCATCTGAGCTACCACGGCTCCTACGGATCTATATAGATTCGACAAATACATACATACAAATACTCACGCCTGTCACGCAGAAGGGTAGGCATAGACTACAGGTTTCCATTTGGCACGATCCTGACACACCTCTGTCGCCTCCTCCACATTCATATAGTTATGCATACATGCTCGTCTGTTAAGGGTAAAAAATATATCGCCAAGTTGGTCGATAAACTTTCGCCTAGGACGTCCCTTTCCGACTCTTCCATTCACTTCTGCAACATTCATTCTTTCTACATGACCAAACCACTGAAGCATCCCTTTCTTAAACCTGGTTACAGCATCATCTTGCAAACCACACTCTTCTTTTATCACACAATTATTAGACCAAAATAATTATTTTAAAATTTTTTTTTCAAAAAATTCACTTGTTCATTATATTTATTTAAAACTTGTTGCACATATATGATATTACTAGGTGCATTTAATAATAATAGGAATTTTTTACTAAGTACTTTAAGTCTAACCTTAGGTTGTTTAGAGGACAGTAATGGATGCAATTTCAGACATACAAGGAATAAAGTTCCTATCATAAAACATTATATAATTTATATGTGGTAGAGCCATGCTGCTATATTATTAGTATAATTGTAGCACGAATGGGTCAGCTTGACTGGGGAAGGACCATGCTCTCTAGAACACCAGCGTAAAATAGTAACTTAATGCTATGGTGTTTCGTACGGTGAGTGTAGAGAACCGTAGACCCGGCTCTCTACACATAATAATAATAACTTAATAAGATACATTTCACTTTCCCATTCATCGCAGCCCATCAAGAATGTTTGCCGCAGTTTTTATTGTTATCCATTGTTATCGGGTAGTGCTACCTGTTCCCATTTCTTCCTGTTACCTACTATAAGATCAACGGGATATTAAATAGTGGTTTTACTTATACCCCCACTAATGTAAAACTAAAGTTCTATTTATGAGTTTATAAAGCTTATAGTAGTTGATGAATGCACATGGCTCAGGACAGTGCTTTGTGGAATTCCTTGGGGTGACCTATGTTCAGCTGTGGACACGTAAAGGACTGTAATGATGATAATATCATTAAAATAAAGAACTTTAAGATGCTTGTGAAGGCCTAACCATCGTTATTAAGTAGTTTTATATTAAGCTGTAGATAGATGTACATAAACTATATAACAATATTTCTTGCCTATACCCATATGCTTTTCAAATATTTAAAGGAGTTGCTAAGTAAACATGATATATATGAGAATTTTACATTAAAAATGCCTGCCCATAATAGCAAATTTATGGACAGGTCGTTTAGTATCCAAGCAGTCCGTCTATGGATTGCCCTAGCTCTGTCAGTGAGACGCGCCCAGTCTTTACCTGTTTTTCAGAAACTTGTACACAGTCACGATCTTAATTGTTGAGTTCGTGCCATCTATATAAGTAGTATACATTCGTATTTTTTTGTATTTATTTGTTGTTTATTTCTAATTATATTATATAAAATATGGATATATTTATAAATATTGTTTCTGCATCACCAAACCACACAATTTACTACTTTTTGCGATCCTGTCCATCCAAAGGTTGTCTGGAAGAAATCACTTTTTAGCGATAAGACCGCCCATTGTGACACTATTTTTTTTTCTTCTTTCGTTTATGTATTGATTTGGTGTACAATAAAGAATTATCTATCTATCTATCTATCTAAACATTATTTGGAAAAAAAATAATGTTTAGCAGACTGCATTAGAATTTTAATAATATAGTACAATGCATTACATAGTACTATTTTCAATGCCAAATTGAGTTATAAAAAGAAATTAGGTGCTTTCAGAGTTTTCTCAGATTTTACAATAAAATAGATGGTTTTACATCTATACTGAATATTATTTTTTTATTATTTTCTTTTTTTAAACATTACCTCCAACTCGGTTGGAGAGAGATTTTCTCCAGTATCGTGAGGGCAGTTTACAAAAATAAATTTCACAAGGACAAACTTGAAGAACAATTACTTGAAGGCCATACGAATACTTGCTCCGTGCGCTCCTAAGCTCTGTAACTGATAGCTAATATATAGTCCCAGGTGTTTTAACAAGATGTGGTACAGAGTTTCCTGTATGGAATATTGATGAGGTAAGAAGAGAAGATATTTCAGACACGGTTATGCTAGTCGGTCTAAATATGAGATTTTGGTGTCTAGAGGTTGTCAGTTCTGACAAAGGTTTGCTGAATTTCTTCAAGGGGCTTACATGGCTACAATGCGCACTAAACACATAATACATGCAGTCTTTTAGTTGCGTAAAATAGCCTGCTATTGAAAATTTACTATAGTAATAAATTTAATTCATATTATTAAAGTTAAATTAAACAAATACAAATATAATTGTAATATTTTATGTAATGATTTAGATTTACTGTGTTTATTTATTACTGGACACACATTATTAAGAAAACAGTAAATAATTAAAACTTTTAAAATTATACAAATAATGTCAATTCCATTCAAGTATTTTTTTATTCTCGCGGAATATTTCGTACGTCATTGGTCGCATAGCAATTGGTGTAAACGCTTAATTCATTGAGCGAAACAACTCGATAGGGGCTTAGCATCAAATGACCCCGAAGAGTTGCTACTTTATAGTGAATGAACTAGGAGTCATTGATTATAATATCTATACAGTATACACCACACAGGGTGACCTAAGGGCGGCGGTCACATATGTTAGCTTTTGATATATTCATTGTTTAATAAAACTGTTCGTGATTAAATGATGGTGTATACATTTGTCTAGTAGAGTAGGTGTAGCGAAATAGCTTATACACAGCACGATTTTCTGAAAATGGCCGGGGTAGGGACCCTGCCTACCTAATAGGCATATCACGCATTAGTATTACTGAGTAACATTTACACCACTTACTTTTCAGATGCCTCGGTCATGATTCGACACGTCGAATATCCTAATTTCCACTCTCCACTTCACAGATTTCACCATTTTTATGACATAAATACATCAGACACACTTGCAAACCGTTCTTATTTCGGCCCTTTATTGGGCCTCAATGCGCGTGCGTCAATGTAGCAGTCCGGGCGGGTATTCAATGAATGGAAAGTGTTCCAGCGACAGGTGGCGCGCTTATCGCACACCGGTTTGGAAATCCAACAATACTATTGGCTGGTGACTTATACCGCCTTATTTCGGCCAATCACAGCACAGCAGAACCACTATCCATCAATGACGATATTATGAAGAAAGAAAAACAAAGACGCGGGTCTTTTCAAACGATAGAGATTGCTATCAAAAATTTATAGTACTTTTAAACAGTTCATCTATACACTTTTGCGTTGGAAATGGATGATAACCACTGAAACTAGCTATTGAAAAGTATTTCTGATATTGAATAAACTTTAAAATAGGCGAACAAGGAGACCGGTAAGCGAAAATCGTATATAGGTCACGTCGGGCTCGAGGCTCGGCAGCTCGGCAGTTACTGAATGAAGATTCGCAATGGGCCCATCCCCGTTCATACTGCGACCCATTGAAAAATAAATAGGTCAAATCATTGCAGCGTGCGCTAGTTGCAGGTTGCTTGAACCATTCACAGGCGTCGACTTGCATACGAGCCCCCAGTTCTATTTATAGCTGCTCTATATTTGGGCAGGTCATTCGCTGCAAACGTAAATGCAGCCTCCGTAAAGTAGGTTACCTGATTTTCTTTGTTAATAGGCGGTGCAGTGACGTAGTTGTTGCGAGCGGTGACGTCATCGTCGAATTTTGTATTAGGTGTACCTACATCGCCCAATTCAATAAGAATATACTTAATATCAAATTTTTTTAATATATTTCTACTCGATTGGTATGCATTATATTATTATTAATTGGTTGTAGTATAGTAGTATAGTAATAAAATTATAGTAACGTAATATAGAATATAATTTTATTTCAAAACGTTGAAACAATTTTAAACTTATAAAATAATTAAAAAATTAACAATTTTATTTATTGTTTTTTTGGAATTTATTTAATATTTAAGTTTTCTACATAATATATTTGTATGAAATATATTCTTAATTAGATTTATCAACATAAATATCAGCCATTGCACTTTTCAAGTTTTTTTTTTGTCAGAACGTATTATAATTTCGTATTCAAGACGTAATTATTTTAATATAGAATATAAAATAAAAAAATCGAAATATTTCATAGGTTTAATTCAATATCATTAAACTTATATTATGTTTTTTGTTTTATTATCAACTTGTTTAAAAATAATAAAAGTAAAAATAATTAAATATATTTGTAAATGTATAGTATTAATACTAAAGTATATAATATGTAAATACCATTAATGTTATAACAAATAAATTTGGGAACGGAATGAAATAAAAATAATTTGTTAATACGTAAGTATTTATTTTATAATATACTATTATACACTAGACAATATAATAAAATTTGTTTATGCTTAATTAATATATTTCTGTTTATTAGGGACAATAAATAATTGCAACATTGTACAAAGGACCCTCTTAAGCAAAATCTTTCTTTTATAATTCGTCGAATTCAGTCTTTGTTTTAGTTGCTTGGGCGATAGCAGCTTTTGTAAGATCATCACTTTGAAGCATTGTCTGATTCATTAACCGCTGAAAAAGAAAAAAAAAGTTATTTAATTTTATAAATAAAAAACATTACATTAATAATCTGTAACAGTAAATACAAAAACAAAAAAAAAACAGACGTAGCTCAAGTGACAGTAGCATATCTTAAAGAACAAAGAACGGGCGGAACGAAGTTCGATCCCTGTTAGTACTAATAGATTCTAATAGAATTGTTGTTAATCACAACTATGTTAACTTTTTAATCGACTTCAAAAAGCAGAAGGTATTCAATTCGACTGTATGTTATTTTTTATGTATTTTTTTACTTCAGTACTTTTTGTAGGTGAACCGATTTTGGCGATACTTTTTTATTTCTAAGCTGGTGTTTCTGATGTGGTACCCATATAAATTTGATCAAGATGTGACCAGTAGTTTTTGAGTTATCTTTAATAATGCGTATTTAATTGACGTCTAAATAATCGAATGTATGCACATTGATTCGGTCGTATTGATGTCGGTTGTACAAAATTTTTAATTTAACTACTTGTTTAATCTGCTTTATGTTTTTACTTTTTAAGTTATTTTTATTTTAAAAACTGAAAACTGAAAACACACATAAAAAACATACAGTCGAATTGAATACCTCCTCCTTTTCGAAGTCGGTAAAGAAGTAAAAATAGTAAAATAATTTTCACATTGTATACAGATTCTGAAGTTAAGAGCATTAAATCATAGTTTGAATTGCACGCCTCACAACGTGAGGGAGTGCTCTGCTGTCGATATGTACTTTTAAAAAAATCGGATTTTCGATATGTCGATAATTATAAATGTATCAATATTGGAGTTTTATATATAAGTTTATTTGTGGATATATAGAAAATCCGATATTTAAAAAAAATATCAACATTCCTAGTTTGAACTGATCAATTGGAATAATGATCAGTTGAACTGACCGTGTGTCGTTCATTATAATTTTAGTTAGACATCACATGTATATTATATAACTACAGACATTGAATTATAAGATTAGTTTATTTTCTTTTAATTACATAACAAAAAATGTAATTGAAAATATAATATTATGGACTTGTCCGTTGGTCTGTGCGTCGGTGTCTTCTCGGCTAATAGAAATGTAAGCAATAGATTGAGATATATATTATTAATTAAAACTACTTTTACATTTCCCGAATATGGTTTTAATTCGAGAGTGCTTTCCAGCACCCATGGTCAGGGGGAGCATCCCCCTGCCCGGGGACAGTTAGTCAGTCCCCCGTGGCCTTGGGTGCAGGAAAGCACCAGAAACGTCGGGAATTAAAAAACCAATTAAAATTAAACGCGATAAAATCCGTAAAAGTAGTTTTAATCAATGTGAATATAAGAAATCATTATATATATTATAAATAGACGTAGATTTTAAAAATATCCAATGTGTTACGAAATCAAAGTTTAGTTATATATAAGTATATGATATATATATATATATATATATATAAGTATATAATATATATATATATATATATATATATATATATATATATATATATATATATATATATATATAAAGTATTATTATTAATAAAGATGTTCGTAACTATTTTAAAGAGGATTTTACCCAATTGAGTTTTGTTATCGAACTAACTCAACTTACCATATGTTTAAAAAGTTATCCTTAATGAAAGTCGATCAGATTCTCTGTTTTTTGTTTCTTGTAAAAATTATCGTCACTGTTGTCATCTCTTTTAATATGATATATTATATTCTTAATTAAATATAGTAACATAAATATTAAATACCAGGCATCACTACTTTCTTTTTATCCGAACATATTATAATTTGGTTTTCAAAACGTTAACGTAATTATTGTACTTTAGATGATAAAATTTAAAAAAATTGAATAATCTCATAAGTTTAATTCATTGCACCGATAACCGAATCAATGAAATAATTTGGAAATTATTTTATATCTTTTAATTCCTTCCCAAATCAAAGGCTAGTTCTTAAATGTAATGTTCTAAGTGCAAACATATTAACTTTACTCAAACACAAACAAAATGAAAATATCAAGAAAGCATGTGCCCATGTTACAAAGTATGATTGAGCAAAAGTGGTAAAAAAAAATTGATTATGGATGACTTTGAAAAAGACATTAATTTTAACTGCGTTTTTGAAAATCAAATAATTAATCTAAACAACGACAGCTCCACTAGCTGTACTGAAAGTGATTGAATAAATATATTTTTAATCTAGTTTCAATCTCAAATTTTTATAACTTTGCCTCTAGAAATAAGCAGTAACAACAAATACAAAGAAACTATTGAGCTATTATGTACTACGTACTAGAGGTGACACTGCATTCAGCTACTATGTTCCACTCAACTGCAGTGCATGCACCGCACTTTAATCAGTCACTCGCTAGGCGCTTGTAGAGTTGTCACGTGTTGTGTTGATTTAAAAAAAAATCTCTTGATAAAAATATGCCTTCGTGTGTACTTAGATATTGCACAAATAATTCAAGAAATGTCAGTAAAAACCAAGGAATTACTTTTCATCGGTGAGTAGATATTTAATTATTAAAAAAAGCATTATAGATTAATTATTAAACAAATTATTCCTTTGGCGCCAATTTGTGTCATGAAATATAGATTACGAAATTTATTTGTTCAGATGCGACATTTTTGCGAGCAAGTGTAGGGCGATTATATTATGTACAATTTTTTTTTTGTAGAAACAAATAGAATTATTTATAATTAGGCTAAATTAATTACGTTTATATTTCCTGATTATTCTTTTATTTTATTTTTAGGTTTCCACGTCCAAGCCACGAAAACAGAGAAAAGTGGATTAAATTCGTCCAAAATAATCGTAGAGAAGAGACGTGGTTACCAACAATTCACACATACATTTGTTCTTTGCATTTTAGGGAAGAGGATAAATATAGTACGAAGAAAGGAAAAAATTTTCTGAAAAAGTCTGCAGTACCTTGTATAGATGTAAGTGATGAATGTTTATTATATATACTATTGTAACAATAGAAATGTACAGATAAAAAGTCTTTTTAAAATAAATAATTATGTTTTAAAATACTAAAATAAATAACTAACTTAAATACTCTCAATTTTGTTTAGTCGATAAATTCTGATGTTTTTCAGCCTAGGGGTATTGAATCAATGGAATCAATGAATCAACAAGCAATGGATCCTACATCAATACCAGTGAGCGACTTGGAATCGATTTTCGATAGTCCTAGGAAAATTATCTTGAAACGAAAACTTCAAAATGTCACTATAGTTAGAAAAAATTACAAAAAAAAATTAAAAAAAAATTTTTAATAATTAAAAAAATTAAAGAAATTTTCTCTGGATGGAATAGCAGAGTTAATAATAATGGCTAAAGCAGAAGTTGTTGAACTACATAAGAAGTTTTTTAAATTACAGAAAGGACAATATTTGAAATATACACAGACTCTGCGTAAATTTGCCTTAACATTGCATTATTACTCACCAGCGGTTTACAAATATGTAAGACAAATTTACAGTAACGCTCTTCCACATCCACGTACTCTCTGTCGATGGTATGGATCAGTCAACGCTGAACCAGGGTTCACCAATGAAGCATTTCAAGCTTTAAAAATCAAATGTAACTTAAAAGAACAACCGGTAGTGTGCACGTTGATCTTTGATGAGATGGCCATTCGTAGGCAAAAATTATTTCATAATCAACAGAATCTCGGTGCTATTAATTTTGGCGCAGGTCCACAAGAAGCTGACGAAGAAGTTGCATCACAGGCTTTTGTGTTTATGTTAGTTTACTAACGGAAAATTGGAAACCGCCTGTAGGCTACTTTTTAACTTCCAGTATAAACGCTGAAACCAAGGCTAATTTAATAACAACATGTTTACAAAAATGTCGTGAAGTTGGAGTAACGGTCGCAAGCCTTACATTCGATGGTTGCCCTGCAAACTTCTCCACTGCCGAAATTCTAGGTTGTGAACTAACTGATTTGAATAACATTATTAACAATATTTTCCGCACCAGTCAACTCAAGAAAAAATTTGTGTATTTTTAGATCCATGTCATGTAATCAAATTAATTCGAAACACCTTTGAGAGAAAAAGAATATTATTTGATGAAGATGGCAAAAAAGTGAGATGGGAATTGCTTATAAATCTGAATAAACTTTAACAAAATGAGGATCTCAGATTTGGTAACAAACTAACACCGCGTCACATCCATTTTAGAAACCAAGTTATGAAAGTTAAACTAGCTACGCAATTATTGAGCACGAGTGTGGCAAAAGCACTGGTTCTTTGTGATGAAGCATTAAAAGTGAACGTGGTTTCTGGATTCGTCAGAAACTGTAAATTTTATAACTATAATGAACAATTTTTTTCATTATAGTTATGTAGTGCTATCGGGCGATCAGCTTGACCAGTTTAGCAAGTAAAGTTTACTCGAAGGTTTTGACACGTAGGATGCAAGAGAAATCGGAAAGATTCTTATGGGAGGCACAATGCGGATTTAGACCTAGAAGAGGATGCACGGATCAAATGTTTTCTCTCCGCATGATCACGGAGAAGCTTCTGAGTGTTAACCAGAGGATTTTCTGTGCTTTTGTGGATCTGGAGAAAGCATTTGATAAGGTTATAAGGAAGAAAATGTGGGAACTGTTGCCGGGATATGGTGTGGATGGTCGATTGTTAAGGGCTGTGCAGTCAAATTACTATGACTGTAAAGCCTGTGTGCGGGTAGGGCATGACCTGTCACCCATGTTTAGCGTCCAAGCGGGCGTAAAACAGGGTTGTGTCATGTCTTCCTGGCTGTTCATACTGTATCTCGACAGCTGTTTACAGAAGCTGAAAAATAGCTGTTTGGGTGTGAAATTGGGTGACATAAAAGTTAATTGTCTGCTGTATGATGATGCAGTGCTTATTGCACCATCAGAAGCAGAACTGCAGGCATTAGTCACGTGTATGAAAGAGGAATGTGAAATTAAAGGTCTCCGTTTGAATGCTAATAAAACTAAGGTTCTGGTATTTGAAAAGGAC